AAAAAGACCCCCCCCCCCCCCCCCCCCCCACGCCATAGACCAAACCAGCAAACAAAATCAATGGGAGGGTCCAAAATCTTTTGAACATCCCTAGCTGTCTGTGTTTCTCTCCAGTCGATGCCTTGGACACAAACCTCTCTGCTCCTGTCTCCTTCTTCTTTGATAACCTGTGGGAGAACAGTACAATATCGCATGTGAGCAGTAGGACCCCTCATTCCATCAGTCCTCGCTCAATAAAATGAGAAAAAAACACACAAATGCAGTGGTCTCAACCATCCTTAATTAAGGGAATCCTTGCTTTATATGGAAAAGATGTGTTTGACTCTCTCTCTTTCAGCAATTCACCAGCAAATCCTATGTCCTAATCGTATTTCTGCCAATGCATTGTCGGTGGCATTTTCAACCCAGAAATACACATACTCGCATCTAAGTGAATAGACAATTGGTAAAGAATGCAACTTTACCCCCAAAGAATAACGACAAATATTCATATGAAAGCTGGTTTTCAACTATTTTTCCGAGCAACCGACACTTTGCAGTCTAAAAAATATTTAAATTCTCAATTTATTAAAATTTGCACATTACACCCTCAGTCCTATAAAAAGATAGTTAATGTCGTCTATTATCATAAAATTGATTACAAAATTCACATGCAAAATGCTTAAGAGGAGTAGTACACAATAATTATGTGCAAAAATAGAAAAATATATTAAATACACCAAAAACAAAGCGACCAACGTTTGATTTTGAACTATACTGCTATTTTTATGTATGATTGAGAGTGCAATGAAAGGATTTTAATTTCCTAGGTGTAATTGTGAATACTTAGGTCCCTGATCTGACCTCGGACGGCATGATTAGAAAGACAGCCTTTTGGTTCTGCAACCATGGAACTAAAAAAGGGAACTAACATCGGGTAATGAAAATCAAATAGCAAGGAAAGCAAATGATATACAGCACAGTTCTGATGTAAAAGACCAAAAGAAAATAGGGATATAACAAGCACAATGGGAGGACATGGGTTGATGGGGGTGAAATAGAAAATTAAATAAAGGAAGAAGCTTCAATGACAAATGCAAATGACGGTGTTTAATTAGAATTCAGTACTCTCCTTCACACACTCTATAGAAGCATAGAAAGGCCGTTGCTAAACTTAAATGCATAGAGTTTAGTAACAACTTGCCAAACTGTGAATTCAGTGGATCTGGGATAACTTCAAGCCATTTATCTATTTGATTTGGAGACACCACATTAAGGAAAGGCAGACCCGGAAACCCAATTGAATCATTAGCATCTGTATACAGCGCAGGGTTCAAATTTCTACAGACTAAAGAACCTACAGTGAGTACTAATGAAACTCACATGCACAGGGGAAGTGGATGATATCTACATAGCCCAGCTCTGGATGAATCCTTTTTTTTTTTTTTTGGGGGGGGGGGGGGGGGGAGGTGTCAATTAAACCTTTATGCTGGCTTGGGGGGGGGCTACC